ACTTTCAGTCTTTTTCCCTTTTTAAATTTTTTTCTCCACAAAAACACAGTATTCCCTGAAAATAAGAAAAAAAAAAATAGAAACTAAAATGTTACATATAGTATAATTCTCCTTTTACAATGTTTGAAATCAAAGTTGTGTGTTTGCTTTTGTTCTATTTTTTTTTCAATTTCAATGTCTATGCATAATAAACTTCCAATAATACATAGCATGTTCAGCATGATCCCTGATTGAATGCCTTAATGGTCACAATAAACACATTTCTGAAACTTATATATAATAGATATTATTTTTTGTTTCCTACCATCATCATCACCACTTTGATCCTGACGAGGTGTAGATTCTAATGCAGGAACTTCTCTTGCTTTTGTGCGAGTCCAGGTAATTCGTCCAGCAGATACATCTGATGTCCAGTCACACATGCCAAATTCAAATCCACAGGCCTTACATACTAATGATGGGGAGAAAAAAGTCTTTTTTTAAAATTTTGGTGAACTAAAATAGTCTAATAGAGTGGTTTCTTAACCAGAGTTGATGTTGGAATCAGATAAGAGGCTCAAACATACACACATACAAATTCATATCAGGAAAATTTGATTCAGTAAGTTTCACAGTATACCAGCAACACTGTCTTTCAAATGTACCTTAATTGTCCAGATGTGCAGCCTCCAACTGAGTTCCAATGAGATAAAAAAAAGGGGCTCCCAGTCTTTCTTGTGCCACTGCATTTGTTTCAATTTTTAAAATGGTATATCAGATCTTTATAGAATTATACTTAAATTACATACTAATTAATAATCTCATGTTGTTGTTGTTGTTATATACCATAGAGTTGGACCCGACTCAGAGTGACCCCTCCTTGGGTTTCCAAGCCAGCATCACTACAGAAGTAGATTGCCTCATCTTTCTTCCGAGGAGTGGCTGGTGGGTTGGAACTGCCAGCCTTCTAATAATCTCAGATTTTTTTAAAAAACTTTATTGTGATTTGGCTGCAAGTTTACACAACTGCTTGAACAATTTCTCTTAGAAAGATCAGCACAGGCTGCTCCCCATGAGGCGGAGATTAAAGATGTCCCAAATGTCCAAACTACCGTGCCACTCCATCATTTCACACATTAACTCCTCTTCCTCCTCTCAGTAATCTCCCCCATTTTAGGGCTCTGTATTTCACCATAAACGCCTCACAGAATTCACAGACATCCAAGGGATCATCTCACGTAGTGGTGGGGGAGGCTGGCAGGCTTGGAAGTCCCAGGTCTGTAAGTAGGTCTGGAGGACCCTCCCAATTCTCAGGGTTTAGTGAACCTCAATCAGCAGATCAGATTATGGCTCCTGTCCCAAATCCAAGGGTGAGATGAAGATGAGCCAAAATGCAGAACTGTAGCAAGGGCAGGGCAAACCTTCCCAGAAGATTCATAGGTATACCATCAAGGAAGCTAAGGGTGTTGATTGGAGTTACACTCTCCAGCAAGGTGGGACTGAAGGCATATCCCACCTGTGTTGCTCCAACAGAAATAACCCAAGTGGATGGCTTTAACAGTCAGCAGCTACTTAGTTGCTCACAGCAAATCCCACCACAGAGCCAATTGCCAGTCATCATAGGGAACAACTACTACCAGCTGCCCAGCCAAGTTGACATCTGATCTCAACTATCACACCACCCCAAACAGGCATGGATAATAGGATTTACAATACATCACAAAATAGAGGAAAGTGGCCAGAAGGGCCACATCAAGAAATTCACCACAACAAATAATTAGTTTTCCAATCAACAATTCATGCATGTTTTGTTTTGTGACACTGCCTGCAGTCCCCAGAGTGTAACATCACTCTTCCCACTTCCTTCCTGTGTTTACTGTTTCCATTCATACTTCATTTCTATCCCTTCCTGCTCTCTGAGCTTTAGCCCTGGTCAAATGCTGCTCTCTTGATTTCATACAGTTGATTGACTAAGGAGTGCATAACTCCCTGATGTTATTGTTTGCCTTTAGACCTGTGTATTGTTTGACTGAGAGTTGAGCCATGGGAGGGGAGTTCAGTTCCAAGCCTGAAGGATGTTTAAGGGCCATAGTCTTAGGAATTCCACTAGTATCTATCAAATCAGTAACCTTAACCATTTTTTTTTTTTTTTGTATGATTGTGAGTTTTGTCCCACATTTTTCTCCCGCTCTGTCCAGGACCTTCCATTGCGATCCCTTTTGGAGAAGTCAGTAATTGTAGCCAGACACAATCTAGTTCTGCTGGTATCAAGTTGATGGAGGCTGAGGTTTGACTGGTCAATTTGTTGTTGTTGTTAGGTAATGTTGAGTCGTTTCCAACTCATAGCGACCCCATGCACAGCAGAACAAAACACTGCCCGATCCCACGCCAGCCCCACAATCCCTGCTATACTTGAGCCCATCATCGCAGCCACTGTGTCAATCCATCTCGTTGAAGGCCTCCCCCTCTCTCGTCGACCCTCCACCCTACCAAGCATGACATCCTTCTCCAAGGAGTGGTCCCTTCTGATAACATGACCAAAATAGGTGACATGAAGTCTGGCCATTCTTGCTCCCAAGGAGCATTTCAGGTGCACTTCCTCCAGGACAGATCTGTTAGTTCTTATAGCAGTCTATGATACTTTCAGCATTCTTCATCAGCACAACTCAAAAGCCTCAACTCTTCTTCGGTCTTCCTTATTCATTGTCCAACTCTCACATGCATATGAGGCGATCAGAAATATCATGGCTTGTGTCAGGTACACCTTAGTCCTCAAGGAGACATCCTTGCTCCTCAGCACTTGAAACAATTCCTCACGGTTGACTTTCCCAATGCTATACATCATCTAATGTCCTGACTACTGCTTCCATTGGCATTGATTGTAGAACCAAGCAACGTGAGTTCTTTGACAACCTCAGTCTTCTCTCCATTTGTTGCGATGCTGCTCATTGGTCCAGTTGTGAGGATTTTTGTTTTCTTTATATTGAGACCTTATCCATACTGCAGACTGTATTCTTCAACCCTCATCAGTAAGTGCCTCAAGTCATCCTCACTTTCAGCAAGCAAAGTTGTATTGTCTGCATATCTCAGGTTGTTAATGATTCTTCCTCCAATCCTGATGCCACGTTTTTTTTCATATAGTTCAGCTTCTTGGATTATGTGCTCAGCATATAGATTGAATAAGTATGGGGAAAGGACACAACCCTGACACACTCCCTTCTTGATTTTTAAACCACGTAGTGTCCCCTTGTTCTGTTCGAATGACAGTCTCCTGGTCAAGGTAAGGTTCCTCATGAGTACAATCAAGTGTTCGGGAATTCCCATTCTTCTCAATGTTATCCATAATTTGTCATGATCCACACAATCAAATACCTTTGCGTAGTAAATAAAACACAAGTAAACATCCTTCTGGTATTCTTTGCCTTGAGCCAAGATCCATCTGACAACAGCTATGATATCCCTTGTTCCATGTCCTCTTCTGAATCCAGCTTGCACCTCTGGAAGTTCTCTGTCAATATACTGCTGCAACCATTTTCAAATTATCTTCCATAAGATCTTACTTGTGTGTGATATTAATGATATTGTTCTATAATTTCCACTTTCTGTGGAATCACCTTTCTTTGGAATGGGTACAAATATGAATCTCTTACAGTCAGTTGGCCAGGTAGCTGTCTTCCAAATCTCTTGGCATAACTGAGTGAGTGCCTCCAATGGGGCATTCATTTGTTGAAATATCTCAATGGGTATTCTGTCAATTCCTGGAGCCTTGTTCTTTGCCAATTCTTTCATTGCTGCTTTGACTCTTCCTTCAGTATCATTGGTTCTAGATCATATGCCACTTCCTAAAATGGAGGAAGATTGACCAGTTCTTTTTGGTACAGTGACTCTGTGTATTCCTCTCATCTTCTCTTGATGTTTCCTGCATCATTCAATATTTTGCCCATAGAATCTCTTAATATTGAAACTCTAGGCTTAAAGTTTTTCTTTAATTCTTTCAGCTTGAGAAATGCCAAGTGTGTTCTCTTTTGGTTTTCAAACTCCAGGTCTTTGCACATTTCATTACAGTAATTGGTTTTGTCTGCTCGAGCTGTTCTTTGAAATCTTTTGTTCAGCTCTTTTATCTTGTCATTTCTTCTATTGGCTTTAGTCTTGGATTAATTGTTTCTATGCATCTTTAATTTTCTTCACTCTTCTTTGCTCAGATGGGAAAGACCAATAGTTGCACCTCAGATGGCTGCTCACAAGCTTTTAAGACCCCAGTTGCTACCTATCAAAGTAGAATGTGGAACACTGTCTTTGTGGATTATGTTATGCCAATTGACCTTGATATGTCTCAAGACTATGGTCCTGAGCCCCCAGGCCAAGAAGCTCATTCTCTCAAAGTGTTTGATTATGGTCAGAAAGTTTGCATAACTTTGCTCCTGTATACTCTACTATGTTTGTGGATATATTTCCAGCACATATAAACACACATTACACTTAATTTTTAAAGGATAAAGTTTGTATATAATTTCAAGATTGTCTTTAATGCAGTTGTTTTAGAAAACAACATGACGTTTAAATCGATGTATTTGATACTATAAAATTTTTAAATAAACTACAGATACCCAATAAACCCACTAAATCTAGGGCATTAATGTCAACAAAAATTGGCCAGTGAGTATTACTATTAGCAGTCTCTGAGTCTCATCAACTGCCTGCACACCAATAAGGTAGGCATTTCAATTTCACACTTACACCTTAATCCTTCATCTGTAGAGTCAAACTGGCAGAGATTTGTATCTGGATGGCAAAGCTCCTGCTTGGTATTCAAAGTATCTTGACATGGCAAACTTTCATCTGTTAAATTTAAAGAACAACAAGAAGTGAGATGCAGGCACAACTGGGAAGATTAATTTATTTCTTAAAATGATAACATTTGTTCTACAAAGTACTTTGCTCCCAATTCCTCTCTATGTTGATATCATCTGTTACATAGCCTATTAGAGAGTGAAATAGATGAATGTGGAGGGTGGTGGTAAGGTGGAGAAGGAGGTGTTGAGTGAGGGAGATAGAGAAGGAGTGAGGGAAGGAAAGAGGCCGAGACAGAGAGAGATAGAGAGAGAGACATGAAACCATGCCAGAACTTTTCTATATTAATCAGCTGTGTTTTAACTGGCCAGCCCCAAAATCAAACCTTCCATATAACCACAAAAGTAACAAACCTTCTCTAATATTGAACAAACAGCCTATATAATTAGAAGGATACTTGTATAAGTGTCAAATATAACACTGTGTAACATATGATTGCTATTTAACTGGAACCTGAATCAGCCCTGGAACTATTTTCCCTGAAGCCCTCTCAAATGGTGCCTGTTTTGTACCCCACATTCCTCCCAACATAGGACTTGAAGATGAACTAAATGTCCTTCTTGTTTCCATTACCACTTTGGGATAATTCTCCATCTCACCTTCCTAAACACTCCAGTTTTGCAGCTCTTGACATCAGACAATACTACTCTTCACTCTGCCAACTTATTGTAATCATCTGCATACACCTATCACGAGCTCTGGTGGCATAGTGCCTAAGGCATTTGACTACTAGTCAGAAGATTGGCAGTTCAAACCCACTTACTTACTGCTTCATGGAAGGAGGATGGGACAATCTACTTTTTTAAAGATTTTTCACCTTAGAAACCCAACGGGGGTTGCTATGAATCAGAAACACTCGTGCACTCTTCCTCAATCTTTGATGACTTCAGCTCTTGGTCCACTGTCATCTTTTTTTTTTTTAATTTCAATATTCACTTTTATCTTGTCTCTCCATTTCTTGATATCTTCCTCTTGATGATCTTGAAGGAGAACACTGACAATCTACCTCTTCTCCTACTCCTGAGTATCATCATTCTGATAATGATAAAATGATAACATTCCCTTTACCTTAATTTCAAGTGGCCCACTCTCCAATCGGCACCTCCTACCTTTCTAGTTCACTCCCTGTAGTATCTCAGTTTTAATTTTTTTTTTTTTTATTGCACCAGTACCTTCAAGCTGACGATCCCACAATCTTGTCAGTTCCTTTTATCTTCATCATGCCATCACTTTTTTTCTTACCAAGGTTATTCAACAAGCTTAATCATTATAGACCTCCTCTGGCACTTCTCATGTTTCCCCAAACTCTCAAGACAAGAAGGCTTAGGTCAATAGAAATTAAACATCTGGTCTCTCTCTCTCTCTGTCCTTTCTCCTCTCATTCTTCCCATCTCAATTAATAACAACTTAATTATTCCAATTATCCAGAAAGGACATTTGGAATCATTTATGATTAATTTCTTTCTTTAACTACCCACATGCCATCATCAGCAAATCTTTGCCTTATCACTACACATCCAGACTCTGATTATATCATAACACTTCCAAATCTACTAGTCTTCTGATTCAATGCAAGATCATCTTTTTTCTGGATTACAGTAATAGCTTCTTATTTTGTTGAAGATTTTCCGCTTTTTCACTGACCCTCTTTACCAAGCACAATTCTCTTCTCTAGGAATGCTGCCTCCTCATAACATGTTTAAAGTAAGTAAGACAAACTCTCATCATTTTTCCTTCTAAACATCTTCTGGCTGTACTTCTTCTAAGAAAGATTTGTCCATTTTTCTGGCAGTTCATGGTATAGTCAACATTCTTCACCAATACCATAATTTAAAGATTTCAGTTCTTCTGAATACCTCATTGTCCAGCTTTCACATGCACATGAAGTGACTGAAAATACCACGGCTACGAACAGGCACACTTTAGTCATCAAAGTGACATTTAAAAATGCGTAAACCAAAAAAAAAAAACCACTGCTATCACATCGATTCTGACTCATAATGATCCCCAGTAAGCTCCCAAGGCTGCAAATCTTTATGGAAGTAGATTGCCTCATTTTTCTCCCATGGAGCAACTGGTGTGTTTGAACTACTGACCTTATGGTTACCAGCCAAAAGCCTTACCCTCTAAGCCACCATAACTCCTTTTAAATATGTAAGTCACCTTTAAATATGTGATTCAGCTCATGTCTCCTCTACTTGACACCCTTCATTGGGTTTCTATCCTATTGTTGTTGTTGTTAGGTGCCGTCAAGTCAGCTCTGAGTCATAGCGACCCTATGTACAATAGAACAAAGCACTATCTGGTCCTGCGCCAGCCTCATAATCTTTGCTATACCTGGCCCATTGCTGTAGCAACTGTGTCAATCCATTTCATTGAGGGCCTTCCCCTTTTTCACTGACTTTCCACTTTACATGAAATAAAAGCAAAAGTCCGTACCATGATCTTCCTTATACAAACCAGGTTTACTCCTGCCTCAAGACCTTTGCATTTATGGTTCCTTCCAATACACACATGACTTGGTCACTCAAACTTCTTGTTTTTGTTCAGATAATATGTTCTCAATGAAACCATATGTGACCACCTATTTCAAACTTCTCCATCCTGTCTTCACCTCTGGCACTCACTTAGTTCTATTTTATTGTTCTCCATAGTATATATCACCAGTGACATAAAATACAATTTATCCTTTACTTGCTTTGTGTCTTTCTCTCTACTCCCTTCCCTGAACCTCACCCCAATCTGAAAAATAAACTCTATGAACAGAGGAACATATTACTTGTTTCATCCACTATTGTCTCACTCTCTAGAAAAATTCTTGGTTTAACACATGGGCTCAGTAAACATTTGGTTAATGAATGAATAAATAAATAACCTAAGAAAAATTCAAGAAAATTAAAAAAAAAAAACACCTGTAGAATGCATGTCACTTGTATTTCTATTTTATTATTATTATTATTATTATTATTTTTAATAAAAGGGAGGCAATTGGTTGTGAAAATGAATTACAGATACAGCCATAATCTGGCTTCTCATAATGGAAGTTTACAAATGATGAAAATGCAAATCCTCTTGAATGCAAGAGCACTGAAAACAAAAATGCATAAGCAATTAAGGGAATGCTGGCACTAAACGAAGCTAGGATTGCACAGTGACAATCACCATGAAACAATTAAAATTGCAATTTTTGTAGATTCATATGATAGCTACAAATCTGTCCCCAAACCAAATTGAATCCACTGCTGGCAAGTTGATTCCAATTCACAGCAACCCTAAAGGACAGAGTAGAACTGCCCCAAGGCTGTAAATTTTTATGGAAACAAACTGCCACATCTTTCTCTCATGGAGCTTCTGGTGTGTTCAAACCACCCACCTTTCAGTTAGGAGCTGAATGCTTAACTAGTATGCCACTAGGGCTTATTTATTGGCCATAGTTCAATTAGGTGTTGTATATTATATAATTTGTCACTATTTATATAAGAGAAGCCAGAAAGTACTGAAAACAAAACTAGCAGAATAATCAAATAGCACAGAGTTAAAAATGTAGCTTGTGTCAACTGGCATTACATATATTTTATGATGTAAACCATTTTTACTATTTTTAGTGCCCGAATTGAAATTTGCAACCATAAAAACAGTGGTACATAGATATATGTTTTATCATACCATACATAATTGTCAATCAATAAATCTCCTGGAGAGAACTTTTTAACGTATTCATTTGCAGAGCTCAAAGCTATTTAAAGATGTTAGTTATTTTGATAAATTCATATTCATTCTCTCCCTCTACTTCTCTCACTCTCCATATATATAAGCTGTCTCCCATTCTATCTCATTTTTACAGTGCACCAGGATGAGGCTGTAGAAAATGATCTGGGTGGTCTAAAATCCTCTGTTGATGATGCATGGAGCATCAGCAGGATGAAGTTTGCCAACCATTCCGAGATCTCTAATCCAATGAAGGCTCATTTCTGGAGTTAGCCATCCTTCAAAATTGTCTCTTGCTCACACAGGTTATGTGAAATTGGACAGGTTCTCTCAGATGGTAGAGAGTAAGTCTAAATCTCAAGGCCAATACAATAAACGTTATAATTGACATTCATTTTGGTTCTGACTCTAGAGATTTTATACAATTTCTTTTTATTATTAATAGATTTCAGTAAACAGTTATTACTTCCTAAAAGGTAGCTAGAAGTTAATGAGATAAAATAGGTAACTAGGACCCTAGTTATTTAACAGGATAATATGTATGCTCATTCAAACTCTAATTAAGGAATGATTTGTGACTTTGCACCCTTTACAAATCAGGCAAAGCTGTGAAAAACCAATTTAAAAATATTCACAGAATTTTCACAATATTCTGATTATGAGCTACAACTATGCAATCTTTATTTTAAAAATCACAAACAGTAATTTGAGTTTGTTATCGAAAAATCAGCAATTAAATACATTGTTATTTAATACATAGTAGCAAACCCCGATTTTAGTTTTATGCTTAGTATTTTGGAAAAGTGTAAAGAGGTCCTCACTTCTATAAACATACAATGAACTTTCAAGTTTTGAGAGGCGGGAGTTGGAATAGTATTGTTCAAAGTGTAGAAATGGACTAAAAGATTTGTCTAATATTAACGAAAGGAATTTTGCTTTATTGTCCAAATTGCTAAGTGTTCAGAAACCATACAAATCTCTATATCTAAGAGTTTGTATAAATAATTTAAATTTTTTTAGTCAAAAGAAATGCAAACACACAAAATAGGATATATTTGTTCTTTAAGAGTAGTAGTAGGAGCAGTTGTTGATTTTGACTCCTAGCTACCCTATGTACAACAGAATGAAACACTACCCAGATCTGTGCCATCCTCACAATCCTTGCTATGCTTGAGCCCATTTCTGTAGCCACTCTATCAACCCAGGTCCTGGAGGGTCTTCTCCTTTTTTGCTAACCTTCTACTTTACCAAGCATGATAGCCTTCTCTCTATGAACTGGT